ATGTTCAATAATTTATTTGTAGATATTAAACATTAAAAAGATTTTTAAAACTCAACAATGATAAATGTATATTCAGCCAGCATTAATTCACATTCTAGAACCAATTCTAGTTCAAGAAGGAGCTCTCTGATTATAAGTTTGTAAGCAGCAAGTATTATTTCCTTATTGGAAGGTGACAGTCCCAGTTCAGGAAATGTTCATTCAAGCCACGGTGTTGTTTGTTTCAGGTGTAAGCATGACAAATGCCTATTCTGGTTTGACGAATAGGTCATGCAGAGAAGGTACCGACTCTTGTTGTAAAGGATTCGTTCAGGATTTTAATTAATTTTAGTACGAAAGCCGTTGCTTCAGAGATCGGAGCAATTAATTCTAATCTGCAGATATTGATACTGAAGTCAGTACACATTAACCAGAAGATATTAATCCCCAAAACGCCACAGGCATTCATGAGGAAAAGGGAAAATATTCATGCATCAGGAGTAGTGGGGGGAAAAATTGATTCAAAAACTTGTATTTATTTGTTTGTTTGTTTTGTTTCTATCCCGCCCTCCCCCGCAAGCAGGCTCAGGGTGGCTCACAACAAGAATTCAACAAAATCAAAACCCTGGTAAAATGATCATGAGATGGAGAAACAGATTTACAGAGCTCCCAGAGGGTACTATATGTATGTCTGGATGGAACAAAAGAGCCAGTCTGGTGTAGTGGTTAAGTGCGCGGACTCTTAATTTGGGAGAACCGGGTTTGATTCCCCACTCCTCCACTTGCACCTGGCTGGATGACCTTGGGCAAGCCATAGTTCTGGCACAGCAGTTCTTGAAAAAAGAGCAGTTTCTCTCAGAGCTCTCTCAGCCCCACCGACCTCACAGGGTGTCTGTTGTGGGGAGGGGAAGGGAAAGGAGTCCGTAAGCCACTCTGAGACTCCCTTGGGTAGTGAAGGGCCATGGGGTATAAATCCAATCTCTTCTTCTTCCTCTATTTGAGGATGGGCAAGAGGCACCATCAACTGATGGGCTGAAGGGGACAGGATGAGCCAGGGGAGGCCAGTGTAGCTGGACACTTGCCACCTCAACCAAAGGTCTGGCGGAACGACTCTGTTTTGCAGGCTCTGCAGAACTGTAATAAGTCACACAGGGACCTGATCTCAGTTGGTAGAGAGTCCCACCTGGTCGGGTCCAGAGCCAAAAAGGCCCTGGCCCTGGTTGAGGCTAAACGGAGGTCTCTGGGGCCAGGGGCCAGCAGAAGATGCTCTTCAGGGGAGTGCAAAGATCATCTGGGGTGACAGATGCACCTTTCTGCAGTTGTTACAATCAGGGGTCGTTTCCTGCAGGAGCACACAGGAGCAGTAAAGAGCCCAGGGGGCGGGTACGTGCAACAAGCCCCACCCCCTGCTCCCAGCAGCCCTCAGTCAGAGCAAGAAGCAGCCAGGCAAGTAGCAAGCCCCCCCCGCCCCCCCGGGTCCAAAACAGTCCAGTGGCACCCTTAAGGCCAAGTTTTATTCAGGTACGAGCTCTCCCTCCTCTGCCAGGACAGATCTGCACGCCCCCCCCCCATTAGCTAGCACTCCAAAACAGTCCAGTGGAGCCTGAGTGGTGGGTGTTGCCTTCTGACACACTTCCGGTGAGGTCAGGGGGTGTGGCATATGCAAATAAGGTATGCTAATGAATCATGCTAATGAGCTCCTGCACCTCATTTTCTACGAAATGACCCCTGGTCCCAGTCTCTCACTTCCTACAGAACTAATCCTTGGATTTTAATAGTTGGCTGAGCATCCTGATCTTTGGGGCTCCAGCTGGCCGGTGGGGGTAGCCCCACCCCTGAAGTGGCCCATCCCACATTGACACAGCCGGTGCGATGACATCACACGGAAGTGATGTCATCACACCGGGGGTACTGCACGTCGACGCTCTAGCGTTTTGGCCGATGAGTTTTTTTGGGCAAAATGCTGGAGCGTCAACATGCAATGCTGCTGGTGTGATGATGTGACTTCCGTGTGATGTCCTCACGCCGACCACGTTGCATGCAGTGATGTCACCCCTCCCCCACACTCCCAGACGGCTCCCCCCTCCCGCCGCCACCAGGACAATTGGACCTGGCAAACCCTAGCTGGCACTAAAGAGGCCTTCTCTCATGCGCCCACCTTCTTTGGTCAATGGGACAGTCAGGAGAGACCCTCCCTGTACTCTGGGCAGGAACATATGGGAGAAGAGGCCCCTTCGGATACCCCAGTCCCAAGTCATGTGGGCCATAAAAGGACAAAACCAACGCCTGAAATTGGGCCCTGGAGAATGTTCCCTCTAAGCTGTGGAGTCTGGTGAGCAAAAATTCTACTTTGTGAGCTCCTGGCATTAAAGTTGTGAGCAAGGCACTTGGCTACTGCGTAAATCTGTTTGCTCTGGAGCCATCCTTCCTGAGCTGAGACAAAAATATGTGAGCCGGAGGCTAAGAAACTGTGAGCTAGCTCACAGTAACTCAGCTTAGAGGGAACACTGGTTGGGAGTCGTAATTTGGTGTAGTGGTTAAATTGGACTCTAATCTGGGAGAACCGAGCTTGATTCCCCACTCCTCCACTCGCAGCTGCTGGATGGCCTTGGGCAAGCCACAGTTCTGGCACAGCTGTTCTTGAAAAAAGGGCAGTTTCTGTCAGAGCTCTCTCAGCCCCACCTACCTCACAGGGTGTCTGTCTGTTGTGGGGAGGGGAAGAGGAAGGAGTTTGTAAGCCGCTCTGAGATTCTGAGTGAGGACAGGGTATAAATCCAGTCTCCTCCTCCTCCTCCTCCTGTAGTATCGGGAGTTGCATGGCCCCTATCCCCCAGCCGTCTTTCCACTACAGTCTTTACCTCACTCTCCGCAGCCATATTGAGAGATCTGAAGGCCTAGGGAAAAAACTGGACAATTTTTTTTTGGGGGGGGGGAGGGGAGAAGTTCCCTAAGACTTGTTTCCAGTTTTTCAGATGGGAAAATTGGCGGGATTCCTATGGAACGTTTTGTCTCTTAGAATGAGTAAAATTCTTCTTAAGGCAAGGGTTTTCACACTCAAAGTGTGTAGCATGAAAAAGCCGGAGGTCTCTTCCTGAGTGAGCAAAACTTGGTCTTACAAAGGATTGCGCTTGTTCTTCCACATAGCCATGAAAAAAATCTGAAGGCTTTCTCAATTTTTCCAGTGGAAAATTGCTGGGGGAAAACCTTCTCCTTGGGTAGGCATATGCAACTTTTCCTGGAATGGTTTTGTTTAAATGTAAATAATCTTAGCAACTATATGCCATAGCATGTTTAAGGAAAGGCAAGGGTTTTCACACTCAAAGTGTGTAGCATGAAAAAGCCGGAGGTCTCTTCCTGAGTGAGCAAAACTTGGTCTTACAAAGGATTGTGCTTGTTCTTCCACATAGCCATGAAAAAAGTCTGAAGGCTTTCTCAATTTTTCCAGTGGAAAATTGCTGGGGGAAAACCTTCTCCTTGGGTAGGCATATGCAACTTTTCCTGGAATGGTTTTGTTTAAATGTAAATAATCTTAGCAACTATATGCCATAGCATGTTTAAGGATAAGGTAAAGGTAAAAGTTCCCTTGCTCGAAAGCTAGTCGAGTCCGACTCTAGGGTTGCGGTGCTCATCTCCGTTTCAAAGCCGAAGAGCCAGCGCTGTCCGAAGACATTTCCGTGGTCATGTGGCCGGCATGACTAAACACCAGGGCGCACGGAACGCTGTTCCCTTCCCACCGAAGGGGTACCTATTTATCTACTTGCAATTCCTTGCTTTCGAACTGCGAGGTTGGCAGGAGCTGGAACTAGAGACGGGAGCTCACTCCGTCATGCGGCACACTCGGGTCTCGAACTGCTGAACTACCGACCTTCCACAGCCTGCAGTTCAGCGTCTTAACCACTTGAGCCACCGCAGCTCCTTTTTAAGGAGTTTAAGGATACTACATTATTAAAGTGCTCAGTGTTTCAATGTCCTAAAGTTTAGCTTAATGCCAAAGCATGCTGGTAGTGCTGCCTGTTGTGATTGTAAGAGAGTCCCTACCAAATGCACTGCTTTGTTTAGCACATAATTTGTTTTCCACGTTTTATTTTTCACCCTACCTTTCTGATGGCCATATTAAAGATACATGGGCTGTGTTGAACAGGGTACAGCAGTTTGCAGTTCTTTCTTGGGAATAACTTGCAATTTTTCTTATAGGGCACCAAGGTATCTTTACTTTTAAATTCCATAAATATCCCAAATAGTACTGTTTGCTCACTAAGTTATAAATCTTGCATTTTATGTTGTTCAGTCAGTAAAAGAAGTTTAGATTTGATAGCAAATAGTGTTGCATTTTTTGTATTTCCCCCCTCATATTTACTTCCCCCCCCCCAGAAAAATGGAAACATCTGTTGTTGTTTTCCTTATGGCTTCAAACTTCTTGGAAATTGCACGTCTATAGCCATACCACTTCCCTACCTCTAAGCCAATTCCACATGGCTCCCCTTTGCTCTTGCTAATTGCACACATTAAGGTCCTGAAAATTTGGAACAAAGTTCAAGGCCAGTGACAGTTTTAGGACCAACGAAGTTTTATTCAAGGTATTAGCTTTCATGTGCATGCATACGTCTTCAGATGTATGAAGAAGTGTCCATGCACACAAAAGCGTATACCTTGAATGAAATTCTGTTGGTCTTAAAACTGCCACTGGACTTGAACTTTTGTTCTGCTACCAACACAGCTACCCTCCTGAATCTGAAAATTTAGGTAAGGTTTTTTCCTGGATCTAACTGCACTTCTGCTTCAGGTGATCTTCAGCTGCAGTGATGTGTCCACTTTCTGGGGTTGATTGTTGTCCCCACCTGGACCGATCCTAAACCTTAGCCCTGTCTGATTTGGGGAAAACCAATTGTTCCGGGTTTTGTGTCTTTGGTGTTTTTTCCCCCCCTCCTGATTCAGTGCAAATTTCTCATGGTTCTTTATGCATTCAGATTATGCATCGGTGTCTTTGGATTTTTAAAACATAATCGTTTGTCCTTTTGCAGCATGTGATGGAATAGGCACGGGGAGTTTGATGTATGCCCAGACTGTCGACTCCAATAATATTGACCAGTTTGTCAACTGCACCAAGATCAATGGGAACCTGATCTTCCTGGTCACTGGGATTCATGGGTGAGTGCAAAGGTGTATGACATGCTGCCGGTCTCTCTGAACGGTGCCCCTTTTGTGTCTTAGAGCGATGGAATGGAAATGTCTGCTCAGCATCCCTCCTCCTAAGAGTTGGGGCAGCGTTGGCTTGGGAAAGAGCCATGTTGTAGCCTTGAACACGATGGGTTGGATCCTTGTTTGCCCTTGACCAAGTCCTCCTCCCACAGAGAAAGACAATACAACAAATTTAGAGTCCAGTCGGGCACCTTTAAGACAAACAAAGGTTTATTTGTGGTATGAGCTTTCATGCGCATGCACACTTTTTCAAATACGAATTCAAAAAAGTATTTGAAAAAGTATTGCGCGCACACAAAAGCTCATATCTTGAATGAACCTTTGTGGGACTTAAAGGTGCCATCGGACTCTACATTTGTTCTATGGCTTCAGACGAACATGGCTGACCACCTGGGACTTCCTTCGACAATGAAAAGGTCTTTCCTCCATCAGAAAAGCCATTCGTCACTGCAGGAAGCTTCTGTCTCAGTGCAAGGGAATCGTGGGATACAACACATTGTGTCCTGGATTTTTCTGACATTACTAGAGCGCACAAGGCTGTAGAATCTCCCACACTACAAAACTTCAATTTCAAAAGGGATACTAAGGGTTGAAAATTTTCTGCATTAAATCTCTCTTTTTTCTGGGGGGGCGGGTGGGTGTCCCAGTATACCCACTATCTGGTACCCACAAATTGGGAACAGTTGCATGTCTGGCTGTAGGATTTGAACACCCAGATCACGGTTAACATAAGAACTTAAGAAGAACCCTGCTGGATCAGACCAATAGTCCCTCTAGTCCAGCATCCCGTCTCACAGAGTGACCAACCAGTTCCTCTGGAGGGCCAACAACAGGGCACAGAGGCTGAGGCCTTCCCTTGATGTTGCCTCCTGGCTCTGGGATTCAGAGGCTTAGTGCCTCTAAATGTGGAGGTTCCCCTCAGTCACCATGGCTAGTAACCACTGTTAGACCTCTCTCCCATGAATCTGTCTATAAGAACCTAAGAGGAGCCCTTCTGGATCAGACCAGTGGTCCCTCTAGTCTAGCATCCTGTCTCACCCAGTGGCCAACCAGTTACTTTGGAGGGCATAAAGGCTGAAAGCTTCCCTTGATGTTGCCTCCTGGCTCTGGGATTCAGATGTTCAGTGCCTCTGAATGTGGAGGTTCCCCTCAGTCACCGTGACTAGTAGCCATTGATAGACCTCTCCTCCATTAATCTATCTAATCCCGTTTTAAAGCTGTTTATTCTTGTGGCCATCACTACACCCTCTGGCAGTGCATTCCACATGTTACTCCCTTTCTGTGTAAAGTAGGTTGTCGGGACTTGGAGTGCTCATTTTGAATATTGCGGGGCTGCTTTCAGGACAGGCCTAACGAGCATCAGGGAACTATGGGGACATGTGAGGGCGGGCAGAAGGTTACATGGTTATTGTTAAGATTCATGTCTTCCCTAACTCCAATGCTCCACATCGAAGGGAAGACCGGCTGGGTGCCCACCCCATCCAATGCAACCTCTGCCTGTCACAGATAATTGACCATCTCAGCCCTGAAGCTGGGAGTCTTCTCACCATCCGGACTTCTTTCTGTAGTCTTGATCTTGTTTCAGATCAGCAGATACGAACTGTCCTGTTTTATTTCTGGACTTTTAAAGACTGGGGTGCTTTCCCAATTTGCCAGTTTTCAGTTCATGTCTCCCCCACACACACACTGGTTATCCTTGACCGAAGAATGTTCGGCAAAGGCAAAGGTTTCCCTTGCTCAAAAGCCGGTTGAATCTGACTCTAGGGATGCGGTGCTTATCTCCGTTTCCATGCCGAAGAGCCAGCGCTGTACAAAGACATTTCCGTGGTCATGTGGCCAGCACGACTAGACACTGAGGCGCACGGAACGCTGTTCCCTTCCCACCAAAGTGGTGCCTATTTACCCACTTGCAATTTCTTGCTTTCGAACTGCTAGGTTGGCAGGAGCTGGGTCCAGAGACGGGAGCTCACTCCGTCACACGGCACTCGGGTCTCCGCAGCCTCACTCATTCTATCTGGGATGGTCGTCCTCTTCGACCCAGCATGTAGCTTCGGGAGGGATGCACATGGAGCGGTGAGGGAGGGAGGGGACACACGCCTAGCCAGCCAGATCAGCCGAATCAACCCTGACGACCAATGGGGTGACAGATGTCCCAACCAGACAAGCCCTCACATCCTCTCACTGGTGATCAATGTGTCTACAAGTGTCAGCACACTGGTGGACTCATGTTCATTGCTTAAATCTAAGCGGAATAAAACCCTGAACTGTAATCACATCCAGATTCCTTTGATCTGCGGAGAAACTCCTGGAGATTGCAGCAGGGACCAGCTTGGTGTAGTGGTTAGGAGCAGCTGACTCTAATCTGGGAGAACCAGGATTGATTCCCCACTCCTCTACACGAAGCTGCTGGTGTGACCTTGGGTCATTCATAAGTTCTTCCAGAGCTGTGCTGTCAAGTGCAATTCTCAGGAGGGCTCTCTCAGCCCCACCTACCTCCCAGGGTGTCTGTTGTGGGGAGCGGAAGGGAAAGGA